CAACCCAAGAATTCAAAGGAAAGAATCAGAGGATAAATATTAGAAATTGTACGAACCCCAAATATCAATACAAATTATATCTAGTCCACGAATTATAATTTCTCTGGAAATTTCGTGTGAACAAATTGGCACGCCCAGTCGGACAATCTCTACCTCTCATCTCTCTCTCAAGAATCAAAATTTTGCCAGATAATGTACTGACATTATAGAAAATCTTCCCAATAAATTTTCTCCGTGATAATGAGAAAAAAATAGGAAGAAGATTGCACCTCATCGCGAGAGCTTAAACTGCATGATGCTCCGACAAAAAGAAAAATTATTGAACTACGTTATGAATTGATTCCTCTTTTTAAAGGGTACGTAGGCAGCTTACAGAAAAGAAAAAGTTCAGTCTAGCAAAAAAAAATCGCTATGTCAATTATAAATTGAACATGGTTATTGTTGGGCGCTATATGCATGGTGATCACCACTATTGAAATAGGCGAGCAATCTTTGTCAAGGATAGACAATGGAACCGTCAAATTTGGACCATGATTCACATCTCAATCTCATAGATGAAAAATCCAATTATTGTCGGTAAGTTGGGAGCATGTTTGTTGCCTAGAACTCCAAATTCAAATTTATGATTAAATCAAGATTTCATAAATTTGAATTTATCTGGTATTTAAATTTGGGATATTCCAAATTTTACTCAATTCAAAATTGGAATAAAAATTCAAATTCAAATTTTATACCAATTTCAAACATAGATCCAAAATTCCATTCAAAGTCAAAATCTTGATAGAATTAAATTTGGACATATCCTAAATTTTACAAATTCGAACCTCAATTTGCCATATTCGAAATCGAGATTTTGGTAAAAATTCAAATTCAAACTTTACTGTTATTCCAATCAAAATTCTAAATCTTAAAATTTTCGATTTGGGCATATTCTAAATTTTACAATTTTACCGAATTTCAATCTCAATTTGACTATTTCCAAATCGAGATTGAGGTAAAAATTCAAATTCAAATTTTACTCCACTCCAAGCTAAATTTGGACATATTCCAAATTTGTCAAATTTTGATTTCATATTTTCAATTTGGACATATTTCAAATTGAGGTTTGGGTACAAATTAAATACTAAAATATTTTTCGAAATTTATCCACAACTATGTTTGATATAAATTTCGAAAATGGGACATTTGTTGACTTATAAATTTTGGCGAATCACAAGTTGTCACATAATAATACAAAATTTTATGTCATTAAATTGAGACTAATTAGAATTTGACAAATATTTTTAAATTAAATCAAAAGATATCAAAAATTCAATATGCTCAAGTTAGCAAGAGCCAATTCGGTGAGCTCAAGTCCAAATCAAGCCCATGAAATATCCTATAAATAGAGAGGTTCGTTCACCATCTAATTCATCATCGAAATTATCAAAATCCTGCATAGGATAAAATCCTCCCCACAGAAGGCCAAGATCATCATCAAATCAAATGTCGATCAAGATAAACATTAAGTCAGAGGCCGATCAAGATCATCATCAAGCCGCTAGAAGCCGATCAAGATCAAAAAACCAAGAATTAAAGGGAAACAATCCGATGATAAATATTAGAGATTGTATGAATCCCAAATATCAATACAAATTGTATTTAATCCACGAATTATAATTTCTCCAGAAATTTCGTTTGAACAATCTCATTATCAAGTAAATTGTAAAACGAATTGATAATACATTTCTCGATTCAATCAAGATATTGAATTATCTAAGTCCAATTCAACCAAGTCATTTATCCACGAAATGTTGTTAAATTTATAATTTCATTTCTCTCGCTCATTAATACACTCTTTCGTCAACTATGTGTTCTCCTTCTCCAACCATTCATATTCTCATTTTTTCCCAACGATCATATAACTAAAAATATAGGTTTAACTTTTAAAAATTAATAATGTGCATCGCATGCAGTAATAAAATAGTACATATAAAAGTGTGGACGTGAAAAGAAAACTTTTATTTTTGGATAATATTATCTCAAAAATTTTAGATAATTCCATGTTATCACTTTTTCTATGTAAACTAACACACATAAACAATACTGAATACCTTAATTAAAAAATAAAATAAAAATGAAAACCTCAAAAATATTTGAGAAGTAATATTTATTATAATATAATTAAATTATTAAATGAAAAAATATCAACGGTACTTCTCTTTCCTTTCCGAGCCATAACTTTCTCAGGGAAGAGCAAAATTTTGTGTTCTAAACTACAAAATCTTATGTGATTTATATATATATCTGTTTTGAATTACGACAAACTAATTCTTTATTTTTTTTTCTTCCCTCCACCCCCTTCCAAATTCTACTCACACCCGTATAATTTATACATATATAAATTTATTGTTATTATTATTATTTTAGACAACCCATATAAATTTATTTGATGTATCACTTTTTTTTGATGTGGTATTTATTATAATTAAATGATAATATAAAATAAAACAAACACTAATCGCTTTTATGGAAAGAAAAATTAATGGATTATTACATATTTTTAAACTTTTATATATATATATATATATATATACGCAACATGCATATATACACACATCCAAACACGAAATAACCAACCCCACACACCCACAAAAAAAAATATCAATATAAATATATATATACCCTATTAATCATAAACAAAAAAAAATCATAGTTCCATAATAAAAATATATTTTTATATATATAAAAAGAATGTATTTGCTTGGATTAAAATACTAGTTAAATTAAATATCTGATAACTACATTGCCACTATCCTCGGAGATTTGTTTACAATTTGCTAGTTAATTTATTTTTAAGTTAAATCATCCCTTTGTTTATATGATTTAAGATTAGTATTAAATTGTACTTAAAAAAATATATTAGTATTATCTTTATTCCTATGATCTGAAAATTTTGGTTTCAAATTGATTCCAATAATTTTTCTAAATTTTAATTGGGTGTATATAATTTAGGTAAGGGTCATGTTTTTCACCTACCCAACAAATTATCTTTCTTTTCATCTTTTCTATTAAAAAGTAATATCTAAGTTTTGTGAAATAAAGGGACCAGTCTAATAGCATATCAATAAAAATTCTAGTCTATTACAGGCAAAAATATTTTTTATCAAAAAATGAAACTATATCTTTCAATTCCTATCATTGACATTTCATAACCATTTCAAAAGTACCTTTTGAGCAAACATTTATTAATACTCTGAACATAAAGTTGATGTCAAAAATTTGGAATGACATGGCAATTGACGTGCCATATAAGTTCCAATTGTGTCCTAAAAATTGTCAATCATCTATTGACATCAGAGTTTGTTTCTCTTATATGTATCCAATCTTACCCTCATTATCCATTTTTAGAAAAAAATAGCTTCTTCCACATTTTCTCTCCTTGTAGACTTAATCCATGCAAACTTTTAAATTAATTATCACGTCAATTTTTCGGTCGAAATATCAATGTATGTAAGATTGAAAGGATATAAGTACCTTTTAAACAAACGGCAAAGGTTCAAAATCAAACCTAACTCGTACGCCCAAATGTGAAAACTTAGTTTTTTCAAAGGAGTTAGAAAAAAAGTGGGGAGGGGAGTGGCTAGGGGCCAATGGCCTGCTCCCCTCCTCTCTTTATCCTCCCCGTGAATGGTGTGTGTTTTCTCTCAGCCCTCCAACTGAGTTTTTTTTAGAGAGGTGTTCCTTTCTACTTTGTTACAGCTCTTTTGTGGTCTTTTTCAAGAAGTAAGTAACATGGTGTTGTGGAGGCGATTTTCGGGAAGGATCCTTTTTTTCCGCTGGTTTCATGTGATGGCGGATGGTGGTAGAGTGTCAAGAATCTCCTCGTTGGATGCCGATAGTGTTGTTGCGACTGACAAAATCAAAGTCAACATTGTTATATGTATGGTTCTTGACTTCGTCATCGTGACAATTTGAAGAGTTATCAGACACAAAATTAGAGAGGAGAACTACCTGTGATTTCTTGGGATGACTCTTTATCTTCCTTGCATCTTTGTTCAAAAAACTTTCATGGTCTAGAGGCAATGATGACGAGACAAAAGGTGGGCAACGACAAAGGTGTAGCAATCTGCTTGAACACTGTTGAGGCTATCAATCTTTATTGTATCAAGATTCGCTAGTATGATTTTGAAAATTTGTCTAATCCTTCCTTACCTGTCATGGTAGCAACTTTGAAGACAATCATTTATCTTTCAATTTTAAACAGGAGTGCCATAATTGCCAAAATTTCTCAATTAATTGAGGATTTCTCCAGTAAGTCATTGAATGGGGATAATTATTATTATTATTTTTTTTTTTGCAAATTGTGATGATGGTGTGTGGTCGCCACTCTTCTAATGTAACCCTTATAGTCTTATTTCTTTTTAATGCAATATTTTTTATATCGAATAAATAAACAAAAGGCAAAGTTCAAGAATTTTTTTTTTTTGTAATTTAGCCTTCAAAATATTAACAAGTGTTTCTTGAAAAAGTATTTTCTGAGACTTTTATAAAAAAGTTTAGTATAAAAATTTTTTAAACAGATTGCAAAGGTCAAACAAAAAGAGAGAGAGAGGGAAAAAAAAAGGTATTTTTGTTGCCTCGACAAAAAAAAAAGTATTTTTGTATAATTTAGGCTTTATTTATCAATTTAAAGTTCAAACCGTTTTTTCTTAATTTGGCGGGGACTGGGAGCTGATACAGAAAGCAGACCTGCCGAAGGTTGGAGGTCCATTTTCTGAGAGCAGCAAGATCATCGATTTCGCTCGTAACCCCGTTTTCTAATTTCTATGGCTTTCAAGAGATTTGGACTTCTTAGCGACCAACGCGCCACGAACTTTACCAATTTCTTCAGCCCTTTACCATGGAAGATTCTCCATTCTTGCTGTAATCTCACTGTTCTTTACCAAATCAACATATGGCTTCTCTGTTTCTTCAAGCAATTCCCTCTCACTCTCTCTCTTTCTCTCTCCCCGTGCCTCGAAAACCTTCAAATTTCCTATTCGGTCTCTAAACCTAATTTCTAAGAAACCCTTGTCCTTCCAACAACCTCCCTTTCGACGTCCCAACCATTTGGGGTCTCTTAGTTCTTCAAATACACTGTGATTTGTCCTATCTCAGACGGAACGGCTAGAACCCATTTCGGTTTTTGCTTGTTTCATTGCTTCGAAGTCCGATTAGGGTTCTTGGAGGTGGGGAAGATGAAGGTCTTGTTTTGGGTTTTCGCCATTCTTCTGGTTTCGGGGATTGCTGCTGCTGTCCCCAATGCCGTCCCCACTGAACGAATTTCAGGTTCCCCCTTGTTCTTCGAAGCTTTTTCTTTAACTTTAAATGGTTTTGTATTGAGTTGCTCGGTTTTGCTATTGGTTATCTTGATCCTCATTTCTGATGCCGTATTGGGTTTGTTCTGAATTTCTCATTTCCAAAGTTAGTTCGTACTTTTTTGTACTAATTTTGTTGAATTATGAGCTAGTTGAGTTCATTTGAGTCAGATTCTGTTCTAGTTCAGTGATTACGTAGGACCCTTGAAATTAAAATGAAAATCAACAATGCACGCATCCACTGGCATAGCTTGTGTTCATGGGTTACTCTAGTAGTGATGGGGCAAGTGAAAGAATAAAGTGTTCAAATGAAACAAGTTCAAACCATGGTGGCGAATGGCCACCTACTTAAAATTTAAATTCATACAAATTTCTTTGACAATCAATCAAATGTGGTAGGGTTAAACCATTGTCTTGCAAGATTTGTCAAAGTACACGCATGTTGGCCTGATATTAAAAAAAAACATTCTGCAAGTGTTTAAACTTTATGCTCTATACTTCAATGGAATCTGCATGTTGTGGAAAATCATAGTTAAATAGATCCAGTAGGCATATTTGGTCATGTGGTTTGTTTTTGGATGCAGGAAGTGCTGGGGATGTGTTGGAAGATAACCCAGTGGGGAGATTAAAAGTGTATGTTTATAATCTTCCAAGCAAATACAATAAGAAGACTCTTCAAAAGGATCCAAGATGTCTCACTCATATGTTTGCTGCTGAGATATATATGCATAGGTTCCTGTTAAACAGCCCTGTCCGAACACTCAATCCTGAGGAAGCCGATTGGTTTTATACTCCTATATATGTCACCTGTGATCTCACCCCCAATGGCTTGCCATTGCCCTTCAAATCCCCACGAATGATGCGTAGTGCCATTCAGCTAATCTCTTCCAATTGGCCTTATTGGAATAGAACTGAGGGTGCGGATCACTTCTTTGTTGTGCCCCATGACTTTGGAGCCTGCTTTCATTATCAGGTAAGCTGACATCCCTTTTTCTTTTTCGTAGGGTAAAAATATGTATGAGAATAAATACATCATAACCTATCACTGGTAGACGTTTCTGTGTTACCATAGCAAGAATTTCTGTGTTCAAATCCGTGTAATGTCATTTTCTCTTTAACTAATATTGTAATATAAACACTTATTGGATTTGATACTCACTTTCAAGTCCACTATGTGGCGATTTAAGACTTAAACTGTGTTCGGAGTGATTTTGGCAAGAGCCAAAAAGCACATCCTACTAAAAATCATCATGTTAGGAGAGGTAACTTACATTGTTTTTGGAAAAAGTCAAAAGTGCTAGAAGAGTGTTGCGAGAAAGCGTTGGTAGAGTGATTTTGTTCAAGTGTTTGAGCGGGAAATACTTTTAAGAGTGTAGAACTATCAAAGTGTTTTGTTATTAAGCCTTTTTTTACTAAAATGCTTATAATTAAAATAGTTTTGGTAAAAACATTTATTTCAAAACCACCCCTATACGTGGCCTTACTTCACCTGCACTTTGGGATTAAGGAAGGTTGAGTTGAGGATCTAGAGAAGTTTCCATATCAGTTCATAAGTATGCTAACATTCTTTTACTACATTCTTCAAGCATATGAATCATCATCCTTGTCACAAATGCAATAATCTTGGCTCTTGGTTATTTTTATGTGTAGGAAGAGAAGGCTATTGATCGTGGAATTCTTCCCTTGCTCCAGCGTGCAACATTGGTTCAAACTTTTGGACAAAGGCACCATGTTTGCTTGAATGAGGGTTCCATCACTATTCCTCCATATTGTCCTCCCCAGAAAATGAAAGCCCACCTGATTCCCCCTGAAACTCCTCGTTCTATCTTCGTCTATTTCCGGGGGTTGTTTTACGATGTTAACAATGACCCAGAAGGTGGTTATTATGCAAGGTGCATCTCCTTTCTACCTTACTTATTTTTTACATTCTTAATATGGAACAGGGTCGAATATGACACTAGTACGGAAATGAAACTCGACCTTGTGTTTGACGATATACAGAGGTGCAAGAGCAGCAGTGTGGGAGAACTTCAAAAACAATGCCCTCTTTGACATCTCTACTGACCATCCAACGACATATTACGAAGACATGCAGCGAGCGGTCTTCTGTTTATGTCCTCTCGGGTGGGCACCATGGAGCCCAAGGCTGGTGGAAGCAGTGGTGTTTGGTTGCATCCCTGTTATCATAGCTGATGACATTGTCCTGCCTTTTGCTGATGCTATTCCATGGGAAGAAATTGGTGTGTTTGTAGACGAAAAAGACGTCCCCAACCTCGACACGATCCTCACGTCCATACCACCCGATGTGATATTGAGGAAGCAAAGACTGCTGGCAAATCCGTCAATGAAACGAGCGATGATGTTCCCTCAACCCGCCCAATCAGGCGATGCTTTCCATCAGATTCTGAACGGATTGGCTCGAAAATTGCCGCATGAGAAGAGTATTTACTTGAAGCCTGGTGAGAAGATTTTGAATTGGACTGCAGGGCCTGTGGGGGACCTGAAGCCTTGGTAGACAAATTATTCAAATTTTTGGCTGTTTCTTATTTCATACAAAATGTATCAGGTAGAAAAAGCTTTAAGCTATGCCATACTTCCCCTACCTCAAGTTTTGTTTTTGCAGTATATAACATTACTTGTATTGTTTCTTTAGTTTTGTGGAATAGTTGACCCATTTGGTGAAAAACATTGAAAAGGTGCAATAATCTCTCCCAATTATCTGAACAATATAGTTGCATAGTCAGCATCTATCT